TATTATATTATATTATTATTATTTATATATATATAGATAGAAACTTAAACTGCAAGACTGCAACCAGAGGGCCTCGATGCAGACACCGCTGTGGATCTCTCCGTTCTGGGACCCGGGTAGCGCGTGAAGGTCCAGCAAAACCTTGATCCCATACCTTGGCATGAGTGCAATGATCCTGGTCGATGCGAGCTACTGATAGCGTGAAGAAGCAAGGAATCTCTGCAAAGATTTATCTACTTAACAGGCCTCCTGGCTTGATTTTGCCGTCACATCAACCACTAGTAGTGACTGTCCCATCTAGCAGAATGGTTGACTACTGATCCCAAGCTGGCTCTGCCAGCTTCTTCGGTCTTCAGCTTAGCTGCTTGTCGGCGAACTCAAAGATCTTGTCGAAGTAGATGCGATAGTCGCGCGGCGAAGCAATGCGATGCAAGTTCTTCAAGCGCTCTTGGATGCTTGCGTGCGGGTCGGGGACCTCAGGCCCATCGTCGGCATCATAGGTCACCCAGTTCCAGTAGCCACATGGAACGCGGAGCACTTCAACACCATATCTCTGCATCTCCTTGAAGTGAGTCTCGCATATCGTGGCATCGAGCCATCGAAGCATCGTCTGCTTTGCTTCTGGGCCTTGCAGATCCCACAAAGCCACTCTGCGTGCACTCTTGCGGATCTTGTCGAAGAAGTTGTAAGGGTGCTTCATCCAGTCTTCTGGAATGAACCTGTTTCCATAGTTCACCCCATGCCACTTTGAGGAAGATAGGTTGGACAGATTGAAGCGTCCGATGCTCGGCTTCTGCTTTTTGTCTACTCTCTCCTGCAAGGCGCGCTGGCTCAGGCATGCTGCCAGGCCGACGGACACAGAGAGAGGTCCTCGATACGAAAAGCTGTCCACGCTGAGCAGTGTGCTGCCCGCCAGGCTTGAAAGCTGCCACGCCTCTAGTCTATGTTCAGGGCTCAGCTTACATTTAGTCGTGAGGCCAACGACTATGTTCAGAGGAAGGGTCATCGAATTGCACTTCATATTATGAAATAAGGGAGTCTTGCCTGAGCCGGGTTGACTTTGAGCATCTCGGCTGAAGCGGAGACTGGAGCAGGGAAGAACGCCACGGAGGCTGCGGCTCCGTTCTGCCGCTGTGAGCTAGGCAATGCATTCCAAGTGCCAATGGGCCACATTTGCCAGAGTCCAGCTTGCTGCGCCCATTTGAAGACGCTAGGACAGGCTAAGGATGTTTCGGGCACTGTGCTACACTTGTTGCGACAATCAGGACTTCGTGTCAAAGCTGCTTGTTGCTGCATGACGCTAGTTGCTGTATGAGTAACAACTCTGGCGGGCAGTCTGCCCGGAGCAGAAGTGATCCAACATGTGCAGAAGTCACAAGCTTCAGCTTTCAGATTCTTAAGATAAAAGCACGCCACATGGATGACGAGTGCCTTCTAATGCAGATCTGCTTTAGTCAGCCTCGACTGGAACATGGCTGCCGCGGCGCCGTCGTTTAGGCACCGCGGCTTCCTGCCAGAGAGTCCAGAGAGCCCTCTTTGGCGAAACTCTTTCGATATCAATGTTCGAACTTGCATGGTCTAGATGCTTATTGTACATCAGATGCGCCGTGATATCCACCATGGACTCGGCACTAGCTCGGCCTTCACTCCCATCCTGTGGCCAGGCGTCTGTGAAGGGGCCACAGACGGGCTACAGTAGTATCGGGTTCCTGGGGGCAGGCTGGGTTGCTTGGTGGAGTGATGCTGAGAAAAGCTATACAGGCCGGTGAATGGCCACAACATCTGCGGCAATTCTGGGAAGAAGCCTGGATGCCGGGGATGAGTTGGATGGGATGCTTGGGGCCAAGGCTGTCCCCTGATGGTGTCAGCCTTGTGATGGCAACGTCTCTACGGGCTATTCTTTGCAGCTTAAGCCCGTAAGCCACGACGGCATCAATTAGAAAAACAGCCTGGAACATACCCATGGCATGGCACCTTCACTTTTCAACCACAGCTTGGCCATCTATGTGCGCGTGCTCGTCGAATACCTAAGCAGCATTCATGTATGCCCATGACATGGGATCATCGTTCATCTGTCTACACGTTGCTTCCCAGAAGATGTCTTTTTCTCACACGAGGCGTCGCTGCCAATCCGTCGACAACCTGCAGCTGGCAATGTCGCCACGGCCTGGCACTGGGGGGCGTAGCCAAGATCTAACCCGCCTGACTTCCGAGCGGCCCACACGCAAAGACCGTGAGCCATCGGCAACACGAAGTGGCGAGTCGACCGGCATCGTTGCTGCGCACTTCTGCTGTCATTCAGACGCCATGTCGCATTGCACTGCACGCCTTTGATCTCGATGTCGCCGTTGTGGTGCGCCAAGACAACCTCGGGACTCGCATGTTTTGCCTTCGCTCGAGAATATCAGAACCCCTGCTGGCACTGTGCGGTCATGGACGAGACGACATGGAGCTCGAGATGAAGTGCGCGTACGGGTTCTATCGGCATCCCAGCTAGTTGTGATGCACAGTGTCAGCACTTGGAGGCTCACAGCGCAAGCATCCGACCCCGGCTCCACCTGTGTGCAGTCACATGGTTCAGCTATGTGGCATCATTTCCACACACAGCCTGGTCGTTTCAGCAACCCACACTACAGGGACCTCCAGTGGAGATGGCAGCGTGATGTGATGTGTACCACAAACCTGACACTGACAAGATTCTGTGGCGCAGTAGCTGAACCTCCGATATAGGGCCATTACGAAGCAGGTGCTAGGTCAGAATGAACCCACGACATCTTTCCTCCGAGAAGAACTTCATCTGTGAAGCCACCCGCTTGCGACGTGCCGTGATACAGACAAGCAAAGACTGCGAGGCTTCCTCTACTATCAGAAGCCAGATTTATTATCCGTGCTCTCCGTGCCTTGTCCACAGCACACACAGGCAGGTGAGCATGGCCGCACCTGGCAACTGTTTGTGCCCTTCAACGAACATCCCGGCTCAAATGGCTTTGCAGTCTTGGCCACTGCGAAGCTTCACAGGCTGAGGTGGCATTGCAGCAACAGGAGGATCTGCAGCACGTCGAATGATGTCCAACACCTGGCAGTGTGCCATTTTGAGTGGCGAGCTGCTGCTATCTGCTCAAGAGAGCTGAGCTTTAGCTCTGCATCCGTACTGCCTGGCCTCATCGTAGTTCCAAAGTAGTGTGAGCCCGTTGCCCCGTGGTGTTGCCTCGACAGTCACTGGCTGTTGCACGATGTTAAGATGAAGATTACGGCTTACGGAGCACGGGTTTAGAAGTGGAAAGGCTCCCGCCTCAGGCAAAAGCACCACGTGACCTTGGCACTGGGCTCAGGGGGCTGTTCCGGATGTTCCGCTCGCCTAAAGTAAGAACCGCACTCAACAAGATGGTTCGCTGCTCTTGATCAGATGCCTCTCTCAACGTGTCCTGGCATGCGAGGTACGATGCGAAAGGCCAGTTCCTCAACGTGCGGCTGAAAGATTGAGGCAAGGAGCAGGAAGGAAGGGCGTAAGTTCATCTTTCTCACCAGCTCTTTATGAACGCTGCAATTCGAGAAGGGCGTGAGACGGAAAATCGTCGCAATATGCAACATGCATCAAGAGTGCGGCTTTGAGCACGGACCTAAGATCTCGGGCTTCGCAGATGTAGCCGACATGGGCATGTTTCTCCATGTTCTGGTTTGCAAATCGAGCAGCAGCGGCTTTTCTTGATACATGGGGAACTCTCATCCGATCATTGCAGCATCACCTCAAGCAAGCTGCCAGTTTTCACATCTCTCCGGTACTCAACAGGTCAGCCACCAGGTGTCTCCCAGGACGGCTTCGGCTCTACCCACGGTCAAGACCGAATGCGGACCAAAGCATGGCACTGCACGTAAATCCAAATGCCAAGCGGCTATATGCTCGTATCCCAGCTTCTTGAGAATCGGGCGGCAGCACGACTCGGAAAAGCCTGAGCTGAAGCGGTTTAGGGTTTGGGACGGGGCATCCGATGAAGTCTTCTGCAGCACCGAGCCTTGCGGACCGCAGACGAAGATCACGACGTCGCTTCCAGGTGCAGGCCTTGAGAGACGACTGCAGGAAAAGACAGGGCATTCATACTTTGTAGTATACTATAGTATATTATGGTATATTTAAATACATTATAGTATATTATAGTATATTATAGTCCAGTGCTATGAACTGCAGTGGAGCAGCATCGCAGCGCGTACCATCTCTTCAGTCACTCGCCCTTTATAGCAAGTAGCTCCTGGCCGAGAAGAAGCGAATCCCAGGAGTTGGACCGGTAAGGGTAGGAGTTGGGATTAGGGGGACCCTTGGGGATATAGACCCTCTCAATAAGGTCCCCTTTTAAGAGAGCCATAAGTAGGGTTACGAAGGGTCCCCTTTAAGGGGTCTCCCTAATACTACCTAGGACTAAGGGTGCTTTGCATTTTTGCAGCTCCGGGCCTGGCATTTCTGCCTTTGCGTCTGCGCCGCCTGTGACCACGTGCGACAGACGAAGAGGCGTCTGCTCTTCGCTCTTCGGAGGTGAGTACCACTCTGACGAAAGAGCTTCCGAAGCAGATCGCGTCACGTGCATGATTGCAAACCTCAGCTTCTTGAAATTAGCAATTTTTGAAACGAATAAGTCTCTGCCCCCGCTTGTGTCTGTCTGTCCTTGTCTGTTCGACGGGACTCCCCTGTCTCTCTCGGTGGGTCTCATGGCAGACCACTTCTTGGCTCGGACGTGTGCGCACACGCAGAGACCCACGGAGAACTAGCGCCCACATGCGCCGTCAATTCAAGGACATGCGGTGTCTGGAGACTAGAGGCAGCTCATATGCAACGGGTCCAGCAAACAACGGCAACACCAATGAGGCAAAACAACAACTCCTGCAACCTGATGTACACAGCTAGATGACAATATATGACAATAACAAACGGACAACAACTCGACCCCAAGGCTACTATCATGTACAGCGGCGATGCTGAGCACATCACACAGCCGCTCGTTCGCTAAACATCTGCACTGACTTGGAGAAGAGCTCGTTAATTCATTTTTGTTGGGTGTAGGCGTGTAGCCCTGTGTTGGGTTTCGCGAGAAGATGCCATTCGATCAACTGATGGGGGCGTTCTGCATCACAGCCTTGTAGGCTGTGCCGGAGTGTTAAACTTTGAGGATTTTATACGCGATGTAGTGGATGTGCAGCAGCTTGATGTGCGCCGTTGCCATGAACCCGCTCACGGCGGGTGAAATCAAGACAGACGCCGAACTACACATACTGATGCAGCTGCAAGACTCAGTGTCATCATCCACCAGATGCTCCGACAGTCGAGCGGACCCAAACATACCCTAAACCCTGCACCACTTCTGCCAGCAGCAGTTAGACAGCCGATCTCTGTTTCCACAATTTGCACATCCGTTCCAGGACAAAGCTCTCGGCAACTGCACTCTGCAAAAAAGTTGTCAGTGACCTACGCAGCATACCTGCAACAAGGGCAAGCTCAGATATCGCTCGCGATGCCTACCTCATCCCTTTCCTCTACACCACCAACTTCAGAAAACGAGTGTGCAAAAGAGTTGACAACAGAATGCAAAGACACAGGCTGGGGACCTAAGGCTGCAGATTAAATGCGGGGACCATGTCGAGTATCTCGGAAGCACCGCAGGCTGCCGGCATTTCACAAAGTAGTCACAACCACGAGGATTAAGTCGTCTCTGGGACCTACCTCTCTTCCCGAGCTCTCCTACTGCACAACGTCACGCTTCTTCCTCTGCACCTGCCACAATTGGCTTTTGTGGCAAACCGATTACGACTCCAACCCTATTCCAACTGCTGTACTCCTCCGGCTCTTCGAGAGAACCAGAAGGACGAACCCTGCAGCTGGGCGACTCCTTCATCTTGATGGCCTGCTCCCCCAAGATCCGCTGGTCCCGATCCCGAACATCACGACGCCCCTCTTGCCAAATGTCTTGTAGCGTCGCCAGGACGGGCGTAATTCCTTGAAGGAGCGATGGAATTCAAGAGGCCCTCAACTCAATGCTTTGAGCTCTGCGAAGGAACTACCTCAGCTTCGCCAAGGGGCCTGAACCCCCGGCCAAAGCCCCGCAGGCTCGCGCATGGACCATGTTCTTGCCAACCAGGAAGTTTCCCTGGCCATAGTATAGCTGATGTCCATGAGGACCCGACATTAGGATCTTGCTGCCCTCAGCCAACTTCTCGATCATGAATGTACTCGCACGGCCTGCTGCAAGGATACGTACAGAAGGCTCGAGCACTTCGGGAGCTTTGTCTGAATCCATACCGAAAACATCCGCCAGCTTTACACTGTGGAGAACCGGTGCCTGGACTATATCTCGTGCTGCGTACACCGAAGGCAAACACACATAAAATCGATTCGAGAATGCTGTTCCCTTGTTGGGAGAGCCACGATTCAGAACGTGTGTCCCGATCGACTCACCTAGTTAAGCTTCGGGTTCAAGCCTGGCAGAGCGGCAAGCTGTGCTGTTTGGGCTGCGGCATCCTGCTGCTACTGCTACTGCTGCTGCTACTGCCATTGCCACTGCTGCTGCGCCTACTGCTCCTGCTGATGCTCCTGCTGCAACTGCACTGCTCCTCCTCCTGCTCTTCCTCAAGCCTCCTACTGCTGACGACAACGACTACTACTCCTGCTGCTGCTGCTGCTGCTACTACTACTATTACTACTACTCCTCCTACTACTACTGCTGCTCCTGCTGCTACGACAATGATAAGATATAGGTAGCCCCTTGGGGTCAGGCGGCGCGCGCATTTTCCCAATATGTGTCTTTGCCTGTCATGCGTATTTTGCCAACATGTTTTTGCACCGCCAATATTTTCCCAGTGTTGGGCTTGCATATTTTACCAATCTCTGCGGTCCGCCCCAATATCGTGTCTTCATCCCACCCCCACCGTACTGGTTTCCCTGGGGCGGGGTGGGTGGGTGGGACGGGCCACCACAAGCTCAAAAAACAAACGTTAAGAAAATATTGCGGGCTGTCGGAGGCCCGGAACAAACATTCGCAAAATATTGGAGATGTTGTGCAGCCCAGACAAGAATATAGATGAAACTATTGGGGAATTACATTGAGGAAATATCCGGAATATATTGGGACCATATCACCCTATTGCTCTTGCATATTTCCACACTGTTTCTATACCTGCCTTTCTGCATATTTTCCTGGTCTCTCTCTGCTCGTCCTGCGTGTCTACCCTGCCTCAGCTCGGGCCGGCCCCTTCCCTGCAGAATGCCCTGTAAACTGTAAACCAGAGCTCCAGCCCCTTATTCTCGCCCGTCCTGCGCACTGTCTGGCGGGCCATGGGAGCCATCATTCCATTTCAACCCTCAACAACATACTGGACAAATATTTGGCCCTTCAGTGGCCCCTCAAAAAATATTGGGAAAACATGCAGAACCAATATTGGAAATATGTTGGTCAAACACGCACACGACCTGTGGATTCGAGCACCCTTCTGTCTGCCTGATCCGTGGTCATACTACTACTACTACTACTACTACTACTCCTACTACTACTACTACTACTACTGCTACTACGACGACGACGACGACGACTGCTGCGACGAGGACGACGAGGCCGACTACTATTTCTGCTTCCTCATGTGCTGCTGCTAGTACTGCCACCACCAAGCAACTGTTTCTGCTACCCTAGTACATATACCGTGGCAACGGGGCCGCAGACGACAACGACGACGATGATGGCGGCGACGACCACTGTGGCTACCACTTTCGATCTCATTGCCATCGTCAACACTGTCCGAATACGCTTCACATCAATAGTAACTGCCTGGCTGTCAGAACGAACACAGCAGCAACGTTCGAAGCGAATGCATGAATGGCACTACGACCTAGAATCCTAGAATACCAGATCTTCTCGGTACCAAGCTGACATATGTCCTGGCAAAGCCTGGTAAGTCCTACATTAGAACTTTCAGAACACCGACTCATCAAGTGCCACTCGCCAGGCGCAGGGTACCTGATAAACGGCCCAAGCCCCCGAGCATCCTGGGCCATTGCAATAGATCGTCTGACAGACACCGATTATAAGAGCTAGCTGAAACCCTAAACCCTAAACCCAACAAACCCTAAACCCAAAACCCGAAACGGAAACAGCTTTCCAGGATCTGGCCTCCATCTGGGAAGCCTCGCTCTGCGTTCTTTGGATAATGACGAACCATAAGGTCAAGGGTGGGCGACGTAGTAGCCGACACAGGCGTGTAGGACCTACCTGGCACGTCAAGGCGGGAAGTCTCCAGGTATAGTGCTCTTGCAGCCCTGGAGGGGATGCCAAGCTGCTGAGGATCTCGACAGGCTCCTCCAAATTTGTCGCCTTGTTCCAGTCTTTGTGGCCCTTCGACAGGTTGGGTACCTTGACTGATTTCGCTTGGACAGGTGCTCGTTGCCCGAAGGAAAAAGGACTTTCACTGCAAAAGCTATGACGAGTACCAAAATTCTGCACCAGGGGCGTGCACTTTCACATGCTGGCCCGGGTTGATGCCAGCTGTGTAGCCCGTAGGGACTTCGAACTTCAAAAGAGTGAAGGTCTCACCTGAGATCTCCCGAAGTAGCTTTTGATTCTGATCGTCAATTTTCAACTCCCGAGATGCTCGAACACTGGGGTGGTTGTTTGTATATTGAAAATGTCGACGATGATGGTGGTCATACTGGTGCTGGTGATCATCATCGTCATAATCATCATCCTGACCATCATCATCGTCCTTCATCCTCTTCATCAGCAGCAGCATGATGTTTCATGGTTATGCTGGAGACATTAGTGATCCTGAACGAAGAAGATGATGGTGCCAATGGTGGCCGCGACGGTGATGGTGCTGATCCGGTGATCAATGGGCCTGAGTCATAAGGCGTGACGACAGTGATGCTGAGCATCACTATCATCACAGCCAAGACAACCACTGATTATAAACACCATCCACATGCCTGTTGTCATCATCATGCAAGAGTGTCGGTCGCTGTCTTAGCTCGTGACTAACTCGAGGCTTTGCGATCTGTAGCATAGTTTGCCGGGGAATTCTATCTTCCAGAGGTTCTTCTTCCGCCGCACATTCCGTACCCCGGTACCACACTGCTTCACAAAGGTTTAGACAAGGGCTGCAGAGCTTTAGTCCAAACCTCTCCAAGGAAGGAAAGGGCCAGCACCACACAATTGGAGAGGACCTTCAACCAAGCTCCCAGTCGGGAGACTCCAGACCCTTGTATGATCAGGAGCAAGACCCGTCTTATTACTTACTCAACACAGCCAGGACGCTGATCTTCTCCTTCTTCATCAGCTTCAGCGGCTTGTGCCTTGCCTCCAAAAAACGTCGAGCGCGGACCTCCGTGGCGAAGCCCATAGCAAGCTTCTGGATCGCCATGCACACTATCCACGTCAGCATCCTAAGCAATCCAGAAGGCGGTAGTCGGTAGTCGGTAGTTTGCTGCATGTCGCCGGGGTTCCAATCCAAGTGCCGGGGAGAGAATCGTGGAGCCGATGGGATACATCGATGCCATGGTTGTAGGTTTTCACGCCAAACAGACGTCTTCTTGTGGTGGACAGGTGCGTTGCATGGGGTGCGCCTGAACACCTTCAGAACCCTTCCATGTTATAACATCAACTACGAGTACTAGTATTTCTAGTACCCCTTGAGCCTTGCGGCAGTTTGGAAGAGTCTGAGCCTGACCGGGACCTGATAAGGGCGAAGTGCCAATTGCGGCCCTAGTGGGATCTTTCGTCTTTCGGTTGGAGTTGCGAGCGTGAGGGCCTCTTCTACGTCAGCATCTGATTTATGTCTTGCCTTGCGCTTTCCATCCCGGTTCTTGTGGCGACAGTCGACAGTCGCTTCGCAACTTGATGGTATCCCGCTGAGTGCTCTGTGGACAGTTTATCCTATTTTGCCTCGGTGGTAAGGTTTTTCTTTCCCATGGTGTAATTACCACAACGAGACAGCCAGGTGCATCAGTTAGGATCTGCGCCGCGGCTTCCCCATATGGCATGATGGGCTACCAGACCTTTATTCTGAACGACTGCTTGCTCAAACATCCGCCAAGCATCATCGTGCCCAGCTCCACGACAGGATTGTCGGGGGTGACTTTAAAGTATGCCAGCATTTTGGAAAGCAGTGGTCCGAACCAGAGTGCGTACTTGGAAAGACCGTAGGATCGCCAAATGTAGAGCATGATCCAAACAGCCCAGCTTGCAACGGCGAGGGAAGGTCCCTGTGGCGCGAGAATGAGCCAAACCACCATCCACAGGCTCCATAGGTATCCCGCATGGAAGCCCCTTGTTGTGATGATGCCCTTCCTGACTAACGTCATCAGGAACGACGCAAACTGGAAGGGGAAAATGACCTGAAGCATTCCAAAGGGCACCATTTGATCCGCGGCTCTGCAAGCGCTGAAAAGCAACAAAACAGCGCGGCTCTGTTTGACAAGGCGTCAAAGCTATTCAAGGAGCCGAGGGGCCATGTACTTTTCGAAAAGAGAGCTGCCAGTCATCACCAGCAGTGAGCTCGCCTGAAACTGTGCGATGGTGTAGTACCACTTGATGGCATTTTCAAGCCATAGAGGGCAGCCATCCCAAAAGGGCCAGCTGGCAGTGAGACTGGTGTGCTTGTCCTGCGATTCGAACGGCCTAGGGGGACTAGGGCCTCATGGTCCCACTAGCAAACTCCCGCAGTAGGACCACGCACTTCTGAAGCCCTCAACATCCACGGCACGAGGCCAGGACAAGTGCAGCACAGAAGGCTCTCCTCACGAATGTAAGCCGTGACCACATCCACTGAATACAGCTGAGCGTACAGGACCTGAAACTCAAACAACTTCGGCAAGTCTGCAAGCTAAGGGTCCGAATCGTAACGCGAATTTCGAGTCACGGATGACTGCATCACGACACGAAGGACAACTATGACTTGCAAGGATGACACTGTCCGGGACATTGACCACCGAGCTACAGCGAAGAGCAACATGTCCACCACGAAGGTAGCAGCAGTGTTGTCTATATTGACCCATCGGAGATAGACCCAGCAGATTGTGAATGCCAGCACATGCCTCAGCTCTTCGTCCTAGAGGCGGTGAGAATGAAGAAGGGGCACATCCCCACGGGCTCAAAATCGCTCGAATCGAATCTGTCGGGTAGGGAACCTGAGAACAAAGATGAGATTGTGAGCTCGCCATTCCTGCCAAATCATCGGGCTTCCCAAGAGACGAGCGCGAGGCACCTTAGTTCATCGCAGAGCCGAAGAGCTCTAAAACCCTCAGCCTAAACCCTAAACCCCTAAACCCTAAGCTCAGAGGGGGTGCCTCGAAGAGAAAGGAGGAGACTTGCAAGACCATGTTCACCCAGCAGAGACCGAGTGAGAAGATCTCACTGGTGAAGCCGCCGTCCTCTGAACTACAAGAGGGCACCAGAAGTGGGGTCCTTCCCTGTAGGGAGCTTAGGGCTTAGGTCCTACTCAGGGAATAGGCGAAGGCGGAGTCACTTTCTGTCCAATTGAATTGGATGACTACGCGGAATTCGCTACCATACCACTGATGGAGCCAGCCGTGCGGTGAGCTCTCAAAGCTCCACCCTGTCCAGCTGCATGTCGCAAGCGGTGTAGATTCTGTAGAAGGTGTGTAGCAATATGAATATACCCAGCCTCAGTGGGGATAACTACAGCACAGCCCGAATGGCGGCATTGACACCCGAACAGTGTCCTAGGCTCATGCATGGTCGGCCGGCAGCCTGTCACACCCTGTAGGAAGCACAACCCCATTCCATGCAAGGAGCATCTTGTGCACATTGTAGCCATCCTGCGTTCAAGACGCAAACGGAAGTGAAGTGAACCTTGACTGCAACGAGTGCCAGAGCGCCACTGCCAAAGGGTATCGTGCTTGCCATTGGCCCTTGGTGGGTCCTCCTTTGTGAACAGTCGGCCGATTAGGGAGACACCAGCACCTGCAAGCTCTGGCAAGCAATCAAGCTGTTATAGCACGATGCATCCATCACCTAACCAGATATTCGAGGTGGATAGCTGATGTAACCGACCAAGCTCCCCGACTGTTGACAAGACTACGAGCGTCGTCAAACAACAGTCTTGCATGTCTCGAACTGATGGTAGCAACTGAGTGCTATCCTCCCAGACTCGAACTGACACAAGCCTGTACGGGGGGCTTCCACGCCGTCCACAAGCAGCCCAATAGCCTTCTCCTGAACCATCTTGCCTCAACAGATGCTCGGCAGGGGCTTTCTATTTCTGATAAACGACAGCTACTAAGTACTATAGATTCAGAAATGGCGTGTACTGCGGAATGCACAGCCTGAAATGCTGAGAACAGGGCATGGTGCAATGGTGGCATGCGACGGTGCTACACAGCTCTTGACTTCTTGACAGAAGAGCTACTAGGAGAGCGAAACCTGACCTGGCCATCTGATCAGACTACGTACATGTCTGCTCCAGGGTTGTCTTCAAGCCACGTGCAAAGTCGGAGTGTCCAACTTCTTCAAAAGCTTCATAGGCTTCAGTCCCGCCGTGCTGAAGAAGGATATCATTGCCTCCTGAATCAGGGCTCGCCAGCGATGCGCAAAGACGCTCCGAGAGGATCACATGGTGAGGAGTTGACGAGGCCTGGATGAAGCATGAGAAACTCCGTGACATCGCAAACCTTTGCTGCTCACATGGGAAAGGTGACTCCACATGAGTCTTCAGCATAAGCTTCTGTGAAGCATTCTGCAGAAAAAGCAGTCGAAAGAGAATACCTTGCCCGGCAAACCCCTTTAGCTCAGCCGTCTCTGACTACGCCGGTTCCTCCAGCTGAGAACTTAACACGAACGCATCGTTGGCTCAAAGTGAGCAACGCACAGAGTCCCTGGTTCAAGCTTCGCGGGGGATGCAGCGCACAAACACTCATGGACCGTGAAAGGACTCCGTATTGAAAGGAATGACAGATGCCTGCCTGAGTGCACTGCGACTCCCTCTTTACTTTAAGGACAGCAGTTCCAGGCTTGAATATGTCCAAGACACAACGCCACCGATCGAAATCCACAGGGATGAGGTGGTATTGTGCTCGCTGAGTTCTCGCTGGGTGATCTTCAAGCTCGTCTGCACTTTGGCCCTGGGCAGTTTTGCAAAATAGCAGGCACAGGAGCCAATTGCAGCGATCAGAGACGATTTCCAACATTCACACCCTAAACTCTAAAACCCTACATCCGAGTATCCTATATACTATACACGCTATAAGCCCTACAGCCCTATAACTCCCGTATGCGTACAGGACTTGTCCTCCCCATCGCCTAAACCCCTATAAACCCTATACAGCCTACAAGTCCTATAAGCCAATAAACCCTTAACCCAGACGAGCAACTCAAAGGGGTTGCCGCGCTTCTTCCCTCGTACTTCGATCATGACCTGCAGAGCCACCAGGGTCGTGTCAGTTCCAACTAGGATCGGCTTTGGGATACGGCTTTAGGGGCTTAGGGTATACGCTGATCGTGAGGCTCCAGCGACAAGAAGAGGAAGGATCGTGATCGCCACAAAGCCGATAATGGTTCTCCTCTGCCTGCAGCGCACAGAGACTCCGTATAGGGACTATAATATACTACTGGGTGCTGGCCCTAAGTCGCCTCACGCCGTCGAAAGTCGCTTCGCGGCCGCTTTACCCCGTTGTGCCAGTAGAACATACCATAAAGTATAAGAATATACAAGACAATACTAGAGAAACTCTATATAACAATATGCGGAGCCTCTAGATTAGAACTCAAGTAGCGCCTCAGGAAGCCTCAATGGGCTCTCCTGACACCGGCCTATGCATAATTACAATGCTGCCTCCTCAAGATCTGAACAGCCTCTCCACAGCGCAATCATCATGTACATTGCGTGGACATCATGTATCATGATACTACGCCGCGAATGCAAGTCCGGGTCCCCCGGCTTTATCCTCAGCGTTGATTCGAAGGTCGGGTCCGTGCTTCTGAGCAGATGCCTGCAGCGGAAAAGCGGCAGGTTGCAAGTGAATGCGACGGACGGCCGCCTGTCCGGAGGCGATGTGTTCGAAGAAACTATACGAGAACATGATAGAACATGACTTCCGGTTCAGAAAGTGCACAGTGCCACGGTGAGAACTGCAGAACCTTCCACATATCCCCCGAACTAGAGAGGAATCACCGTCATTTCCTACCTGGTCACCAGAGATTTGGGAAGTCAGTACTTGTGGGGGGCAGATGGCTAGGCAGCTACACACTGCGCGAGTAGCTCGCCCATCACCGACCAGAACGATAAAACGTAGTCACCTAACAAGACCAGACGGCTCTTGCAAGAGGTGACTACAGTGGTGGTTGGCCGCCGTTGCATCTGGACAAAGGGTAATGTGCTGACTTTGAGGTACCATTTCCGCCAGTGGCCAATATCTCTTCAACATCCATAGCATGAACAACATGATCGCGCTCAGGATGCCGTGCCAACAGCACGAAAACTAATCGTCAGTCACTATAAAGGTGACAGCAGGTACGTGTTGGTAAACGCGCGAAATCATTCGAGTATACTGGTGCGGGTAACCTGAATGTAGAAGGAGTTGCCAACGTCGTGTAATGGTGTATGCGCTGTATTCCTGTACACAGCCACGCCGGAGTGCCAGTGCACCACGCGTGTCGTGCTGTGTTCATGGTGTTACTGTAGATGTATTTATGAATGTACACACAGCCATGTGTCTGCGTGCGTAGCATGGGTATCTGTGCATATACACATACCTGCAAATCATTAAGCACGTTGCATATCCTGAGGAAAGCCACGAGAAGATAACTGTCTGTGCACGTATCGTACATGTCAAACGGCTTGTACCCGAGGTAGACTACATAACACGACCTACATCATGTAGACATCATAGTCACAGACTGCTCTTCTGGGATGATGCAGGAAAGCTGCATACGACTTCTCAGCCATTGGTCCTGCGTCACCTTAGCACGACACTACCGGAGGTTGTGCGATCTCTGAAACTGCGGCTCACGGCTTGGAGTTGCTGTGACATGGGGCCCGGGCCCCTTCAGGCTGAGGCAGACCAGGTGCAAGTTCAGCCTGCTCCCACCGGCGCCAGGACAAGCTGCCGGTCCCCAGATGCTTAGCCCCCTCACACTTCACTCAGATTGCGCGACTCATCGAAGCGGGCTGTAGGTCCCTAAACCCTAAACCCTAAACCCAAACCCCTAAACCCAAAACCCTAAACCCAAAACCCTAAACCAAAGCATGGCTCTGACTGATTGCAGCACCGGCCTTTGGGCCACGCAGATCGAGAGCTGCCAACCGCGTATCTCCGAAAGGGATGGAAATGAAAGGACTGGCTTTTGGGTTTTAGGGTTTAGGCTTTAGGGTTTAGGCTTTAGGTTTTTTTTTGAGGGCCTTTTTCCGTCTGCTAGGTACTAGCTCGGGCAGCCACACAGCAGAAGGCATAGAGGTTTTAGGGTTTAGGGTTCAGGGTTTTGGGGTCTACCGCTCAATCGCTCAGGCCTGAAAGATGAAAACACGCTTTGACCATCATGGCAAGACTACAGGAGATGACGCTCTTTGTCGGCATCTTGCGCACGCTGTGTCGATATGCATCCTTTAGCTGACATGTAAGCCGCCAACTGACTACGGATGAAAACAAAGGCACAACCATCACAGGTCTGAAAGCAAGACTAATTCTCGTAGAGTCTGGGTGTGTATATATATACACGTATACGTAATGTACATAGACATATACCTATATGTATATATACAATCAATATATATATATATGTGTGTGTGTGTGCCCCCCGAATTCACTTTGGGACTCGAAGATTCGATTTTTGCAAAAGCACATGAAGCTGCGAAGGCAAAAGAAGTAAGATCGCAAGACCTGCTGTGGTTGTTGAACATGTTTTTGTATTGCACCGTGCAATGTGCAAGTATTGCATATTCGTTGCTTTTTTCATGAGGAACCTATGTGGATACAGGCTCATTCATCATGTGCTTGTAATGCAACATCAGCAAAAATAACAAGTACAGTGACAAAGCAGCAAGATAGGACAAATCGTTGGTTCTGTTCAAGCATTTAGTCTTCTGTTGTGGCTGCAAAAATTTCCAAAGCAGCCAAAACTGTGGATGCTGGTGGTGTAGACACAACTCCATGAAAACTCATCGTCTACAAGTGTGGATTCCATACACACACATGCTTTATGAGTTAGCTGTCGCGAGAGCATATATAAAATGTAAATATAAATGTGGCCATATAATGTATGTTACCAATATTGACTAATTCCATGCTGCTTTGTGAACTTTAACACTCAATGTGTAGACATACATATATCTGTACGTACATGTTTATATGCCTGCATATCTATCTTTGGGAATATCGGCAGCATTGGCATGTACATGCGTGGAAGCACCTGCAAGAATAAATCAGGATACATATGGACACATCTATGAACAAATCGGCGCATTCATTACTAAAGCGAGACGGACATACATGACCCGCATTTAATTACTACGAACGCTTGTATATATATACATATATATATATGTAGCACATGCGAAAATGTTGGTAACGTGTATATAAACGGCTTATGTAAGATAAACTTTCTTTACGTACAACACTAGTGGAATCCGTAGGCGTATACACACAAGAACAACTCATCATGTCATAGAATTAGCGCTGTCATAGGAGCGTACGTAATATGTAGTTTCGCATGTAGCCATATTCAATGTCTGCTGCATATATCTCCAAAGGCATATCGTTGTATGCCTGCAGCCTGAGAGGATCAACACCTATATTAGTGTGGAACTAGCACAGCAGAAACGACTTCCTTGCAGTGCGTTTGCTCCAAGTTGGAGCCTGCAGCGAATAACGATTTAAATACAAATTTGCAGTATGCTCGTGAATCGCACTAGACAGGAAGACCACATGAAATCCAGATTCACTGTCTCACTGCGTAGGAGCAATGCCACACGGCAGACCAGCAGCACAATCGCGGAGCCGCAGGTACCCAACCAAAACCAAAAAAAACACAAAACATCCAGCCCTACAAGTATGCTTTGGATAGGGTCAGGAGTTTTGTGAGTGTTGTTTCTTGTGTCTTTTTTTTTGTGTGTGTGTGTGTTGTTCTTGTGCTTTTTGATGATTTTTGTCTGCCTAAAGGACTGAAAACAAGAAACACAAGCACAAATGCAGCCCGATGCTTCGGATAGTGTCGGGATGTGTGTTTGTGGTTTTGCTGCTGTTGTTGTTTCCTCTAGCAATTTTGCGTTTTGGTGGCTTTATTGTTTCGGCTGTTTTGGGTCTTTCTGGCTTTACTGTATTTCAGATGCTGTATAGGCTTGATGATTACATGTTTCAGTAGTGTCATTCTTCATGAATTTATTATGTGTTACTTTCTCGTAATATAGTGGTTCAGCCTTATAGTCCCTTCCCGCACATACATAAAGTTATATATATATATAACTGTATGTATTCTTACAGATGAAAGCTACATGTAAGTAGCATTTACAGAGTATAGTGTGCAGATCCACATAATATATAGGATTGAAAATAGATAAGTGTGGGTCAAAAGGGGGACTTGACATATTTATTTATTACTTATTTATATAGATGGATAGATATGTGTGGGTGTGTGTGCATATACATACCTATATATATATATGGATGGTCACCCTCGTGATCTACCTCCGTGTTTCTTCGATATGTTACATATATATACACACACACGCAGATGCATATGTGCACATGTATGACGAATGGACAAAACATTCAGATAAATTGTTCATGAAGATACGTACAAAGACACACATGCACACACGACAGAACTTACACGCGCATATGAGTGACCAAAGCAGTCTCCAGGAGTGGAGGCCTAAGCCGCCGAAGTGATCGAAGATGTTCTTCAGCCCGGAATGCCCAAAGGTCAACGCCAGGTCGACGGGCTTCGGATGACCTCACAA